ACTTACATTTTGTGTGTGTGTGTGTGTGTGTGTGTGTGTGTGTGTGTGTGTGTGTGTGTGTGTGTGGTAGGTGAGGTTATGGGATTGGAAGATTTAAGATGTTATAATAAAATTGATGTGGCTGTTTCTGAACTTCTGGGTGTTATTGTGTCAACACTTACACCAGTTCATTTATGCATCTTCAGTAAGTGCTCACACACACATTCACACACTCATTCACCACTAGGGGCAATTTAGCATAGCCAATCCACCTACTGGAAGGTGAGAGGAAACCATAGTTTCCAGAGGAAAACTACAGACACGGGAAAAACATGTGTAACTCCACACAGACCCAAGCTCAAGGGTCTATTTATATCTCCACCATATATAAAACATTTCAGCAACAGAAATGTTTCTCATAAAAGCATAAATAGTCATATTTTATCACATTTCCAAAGTTCAGGTCCTTCTTAGATGTCTATATGCATTTTATGGGTTTTTGATCTCAGCCATTAGTCACCAGTGCTTTGGTCATTTCAGCTGGTCAGAATCAGGCTGGCTAGCTTCTGATAGTCTTTCATCTTAGAAATGGAAGATTTGTGATGGCCGAAGCTCTCAAGGTGGAGAAACTCTGTGCTTTTCAAAGTAAGAGGATTTCAGACTCCTGCATTAAACCCAACACAATGGAGGGATTTGTCAAGTCTCCTCATAGGTGGAAGAGAAATTTCCAAATTTCTAACATGTCAGTAAAATACAGTACAGCTCTGAAGTACGTCTGCCTTTGCTCTTAACACTTTCAGTTCAGGCTCAGAGTATATTTTTCTTGCCTGTTTTTGGTGAGTTGTAAGTACACAATTGATGTCTCCCATTGTGCAACAGAAGTGTACACAAATCACAGATCCACTCAGGGCTTCATACGTAACTCCTGCCTTAAATTTACTTTGTGATCACTTGCTGTTATACAGTACATGGCCTGACACAGTATTCAGTATTCACTGTTTATCTAACACAGACCCAGGACATTTCCCCTCCCCACCAGAAGAGGCTGCATACCAGGAACACTAGCATGACCTCTGGCAAGTACTTCCTGGTTTCTTCCTGGATTTGAACTATTTAAACAACCCAAGGTTTTTCGCTTGGTTGGTTGGGGTTTGTGTTTGTTTGTTTGATTTGTCTCTTGTTTTTTTAATTGCTTTTGTTTCAGTGATGCAATAAGCATATCAAACTATGCATACATGAATGACTATTTTTAGACAAGTACAAGGGGAAAAAGAAAGGAGAGACATAAAACAAACTTAGATAATCCCTCAGATGAAAATAGCTTAATTTTCTTATCATTCAAAATTCCCAATGATCTCATCTAGGAAAAGAAATGTCTTTCCAGCTTCCTTGGTGGATTTGAGGCTGTGCACTGATTCATAAAGGCGCTTTACATAAGTCTGTCATAAATAAGCTAAGATTAGGTTTGAAGGAGGTTTTTCTTGCTTCGTGTAAATTAAATTCCCCCAACAGTGCTAGAAGCCGTATGGAATCATCTAGGAAACCCAACTCTTGTGATCCCTTTTACATTGAGTAAGTTCTGAGGCTTTGTTCTAAGCTGACTGACTTATTTATTACATTTTCACTTTGTTTGCTATAATTTCTAATACACCTCATTCTGCATCCGAGTCCCATATATTATAAATAAATTACATTCCTGCCATGTTCTAAAGCATTTGCTGTATAACAGTTTGCTTCCTAATGCTACTAGAAGCTCTGTTGAATGTTGTGTAGCACTGCTCACACGACATTCCCAGTTCGACAAAAGCAAAAATGATGCAAACACTTATTTTAACATTCCTACAACTAAAAATGTTGCAGCAGGGTTTTAGGAATAAATAAATAAATAAAACTCTCTGAAAAACACCTAAACTTTGATAGATTGAATTTAAAAAAAAAACGTTCTTAGAGGTCAAGATGATGAGCTGCGGGTAACATTGCCATCTCAGAGCTCTGTGCTTACTGGTTTGATTCTGAGTTCACTTATTATCCCCCTGTCTGTGTGGGTTTCCTCTGGGTTCTCCAGTTCTCCCACCTCCCAAAAACATTTCACTCAGTGCACTGGCTACGCTTTAGCTCCTGAAGGTGTGAATGATTGTGTGCATGGTGCCTTGCGTTAGACAGGCGTTCCATCCAGGGTGTATTCCCGGATCACGCCCAGTGTTCCTGGGATAGGCTCTGGAATCACCACTCTATCCGGGATAAAGCACTTACTAAAGATAAATGAATAAAGTTCCCAGAACTGTAACATTCAAAAAAAAAACCTTCTGCTAACCTATAATGATTAGTCATTACATCATATTTATGAATTACCGGTAAATTATCTTGTGCTAGCATTGTCCAATATTGTTCCTCTCTCGCACTTTTCATTTTCTTTAACATTATCTTAATTCCCCTCTCTCACCACTTTAGTCTTAGCATGTGAAAAAGTCCAAGAAATTCAAACTGAAAGTGCAGTGCTACATTGAATCGCACACTCTCATCGACATGTAGCCGCTTGGTAAATGACATTTCGGTCAATGTCCTGTCAGAGCTGAAGACAGCAGAGGAGTGAGTGTGCATTCATTATGCTAACAGCAAGAGATAATCTCCACTGTTTCCTCTCCTGGAGACATTTGGGAAAAGCAGCCAGTTTAGAGAGAGGTCAAAGCTCTTGACTCTTACTCGGTCATGCAAAAAGAACTGGGAACACACACGCGCACACACACACACACACAAAGATGAAGATCTGAATTCTGCTCAGACTGTTCACTGAGCTGTGATCTGATATGTCCTTACGAGTGTTGTATTTAGATGTTAGCTGGCTTTAACTGACAGCTGACCATGTTCCAATATTATATTTACATATCATGATCATTACCAAATACTTGATCACAGTGTATAATATTACAATAATAATGTATCTATTTAGGATGGAATTTTGTCCTGACCACCATGTAACTTTGTTTTCTGATCTGGGAACTTCTTCAAGACAGAAGTTTGCGCTTTGGTGCAGGAACGGCCATTTATAGGTGATAACAGGATCTGCTATTGTCTCACTGACATTTCACAACAATAAACATAACTATAAATGAATAATATGTATGACTCTTTCATAAATAAATAACAGTTAGCTATGGTAAATTGCTGTGATGTAAGTGGAATAAAACACCCCCGAACACCACATGCTTTTATAGGAAAATAATGAGCTTTTGTGTAGTCTGCTTTGCACTGACCTGTTGATTATTTTCCTATACCAGCACACCCTCACATGCTTTACTCCTTACATGACTACTGACCTATGGATTCTGACTACTGACTCTTGCTAGCTAGACATAGTACTTATGTTAATCTAACACTTTGATGTGAAGCTTGGTGAAACTGAACATCTAACACGGTATTTGCAGGTGCTCTGAACTCTTTCTAAACAAATAAATGTGAATGTACAGTCAATGACAGAATTATTGGCACCGTTCATGAAAACATGACACAGAATGATTCCAAATTTCCACTCGCACAATAGGATAAATTACTTACTTAATTATTCACTTACTTTTATTTACTTATTCTCATACGATTTTTTTTTTAATGTTAGCAATTTCACTTAAAATATATTTGATGAAAATACTGACACCCCAAAAAGATAAAATGAATGCAAATAATTGTCAGTTTTGAAAGAATTCTATTAGTTTTGGATATTTATTTGTAGATTTGCATTAAAGACAATAATCCATGTGCACAAATCTAAGAATATAACAAAGCTTAAAATGTTCTGCATCGGGGAGAGCCCAAGATCCTCTGCAACCATCTCAAACCTTGTTAGATGCTACAGGAACAAGCCATCCAATATAATATAATATCCAAATATCACTTCATCCGATATTAATTATGGGGTGCCATTAATTTTGAAAACCGTGTTTTTGCAAAGCAAAGACTAAGTATTGTTTATGCACTACTTACGAATCAATCTTGTATGTGAAAAAGTATCGGTACCATAGACCGTTATAAAACTATAGACCGTTTCAATGAGAAAAACAATAACAAAGTTACTTTTTGAAGGAGCATGTCCTTTTCTAAAACATTTCCAGTTGCGCCATTTTTAAATAAAAAGCTATCAAAAAAATGATTAGCTTGCAGTTAATGAATCTCCAGAGAACGAACAAATGAGATACGTGTACATATAGAAATGAACAATAAACAATCGTTTGTGATTCCTAGATGCTTTATACAAGGATGTGAGAAAACAGGGGTTTTTTTCCCCACAGACTCAAAACTTATGACTTACCCTGGTGTGTATCATTACTTTGTTGATACGGAGTGTGTTTACACCAGGGAAGTGCTGACACTGTATCATAGTTTGGAAGCTTGCAACTACATTCTTAGAGGAAAGGTGTGAAATATTTCCTTCTAGAATGAGGATGGCATCTGTATTGTGCATTGTATAGTTGGAACAAGTCAAATGCTGTGGTTTATTGATAGAAGAATGGGGAAATTGCAAGCAGACCCTCTACATGTGTGGCTGGGTGAGTTAGCTAGCTAATTGGTTAGCTTTCTTGTTTGGCAAATGAATGCATTACATAGCTCAGTATTCACCTGTTTAGGATACAACATGCAGTTCGTTTTGGCCTCTGGTTTTAAATATCTCTGATTATCAGATTAGGCTGGGTTTGTAGTTATGTTGCTGTAATTCTTGCGGCTGTGGAACAATATGAAAGGGAAAGGCTTAAATGCCTCGTCTGTGGCCTGAGAAAATATCTGACAACAGAACAGCATAGTCCTTATTTTAATTTTGGCCTTAAATCAACGTACCAGATGAAATTATGGTCCTTCTCTATTGTTTTGAATGCTGTTTACTGCCAACCTGATATGTCCTAGGAACAGCGACATCACTTCCTGCACTCTTGTATATTGGTTTGCAATGGTCTATACATCATTCTCTTGCACTTAGGTTGAGTGTCATTGCATGTTTTATTCTATTTTATATATTTATCTTTGCCAAAGGGTCCCTGGTGGTCTAGCGGCTAAGGATCCTGCGCTGTCAGTGCTGCAGCCCAGGTTTGATTCCTGGGCAGGGAATCAACCCAGCCCCTGGGAATGTCCTTTCAGTGCTGGTCCCAAGCCTGGATAAAATGGGAGTGTTGTGTCAGGAAGTGCATCTGGTGTAAAACCTGTGCCAAATCAAACATGTGGGCCAGTGATCCGCTGTGGCAACCCCTAACAGGAGCAGCTGAAAGAACAGCGACATGTTTATCTTTGCTAAATTTTAGGAAGGGTGGCAATAATTCTGGAGTATGCAATTCCATTATCCCACCACTGTGTATCCTTTGAGAGAGTGAATTGCATCATACGACAAATCACGAGAGGCACAACACACTGTTATAGCAGATGGGAGAGAAAAAGAGCTAAATAAACAGCTTATACGGGATAATAGCTGATCTGTGCTTCCATTAAGACTGATGGGATTCGCAGTCATCTCTTCAGAACTACATTTTTTATTGAGGTGCAAAGTGTAAAAACTCAATTTAGGTTTGTAAAATGAACTGCTGTATGGAAATGATACTCATAGCATCAAGTTATCGCTTATGTTTGGGCTATTTTAGTGCATCACTGCAGTAGAGATTACTGCAGGTTTTGATGAGGAGGTCTGGGGTGAAAGATGGTGTTGGTCAGCTGTAGAGTTTAAGAGCAAGAAAATGAGACACGCAAAGCGAGAGACAGAGAGAAAGAGCTGCTCTCAGACGTCTGCTTATCCAGCAGAGAAAAGCTGGATGTCCTCCTCAGTTCACCTGACTGGCGATGTGATGAGTTTTGTCATGGCAGGTATTAATGAAATGTACTCTTAAACCTGGCACTGAGTCTCTCTCTCTCTCACACACACACACACACACACACTCAGGCCATCTGCTTCTGAGTGGATCCAAGAGGACGAGGGCTAACGTTTTGGTTCATCATTGATGGGATTTTAGAAAAATGACTTGAAATGAATAGATAGTTTCTTCACAATGGCTGTATTATTATATGGTGATCACCTGAGAACCACTGCTGTAATTATAAAGACTGTCATGTTCTCATTATTCTCTTATTCCCTTAGTCACAATCTGCTCATATTGAATATACTTTACAGTATACAGAAGAGTAATTACTTATAATCTTACTATCTGCTGTCACACAATATAGGACAGGTTCCCTTTTGAATCTGGTTCCTCTCAAGGTTTCCTCCTTCTCTCATTTCTCAGGGAGTTTTTTCTTATCATTGTTGCCTCTGGCTTCTTCATTAGAGGTCTAAATTTATATCTGGGTTTATTTAAAGCTACTTTATGACAGCTTTTTTTTAAAACAATTTTAACAATGTCTATACACATAAAAGTGAACCTACATGGAAGATGTGACATAAAATCTGTACAGTGTACAAGTAAGATTTGCCCCAAAAACATTAACCATAGAAAGTCATCAATAATTCATCAATAATTAACCTGAGCTCAATTTCAGATTTTGTAAGTTGTCTATAAAATGATGAAATAAACTGCCCGGCCAAAAAAAAAGTCGCTGTTTAGATTTTAATAGGCAAATACATAAGAGTCTATGAATGGATCATAGTTCTTTTAATCTTAAAAGATGAAGTGTGTAGCTTTTTAGTTCTTTAATAACCATGTAGAAAGACGTATCATGGCCATATTCCAGGACGACACTGCCGAGATTCAACAGGGTTAAAATTGTGAAAGAATGGCTCAGAGAGAAAGAATCATTTTCACACATGAATTGGCACCTCTGAGTCCTGACCTTAACCTCAGTGAAAGTCTTTGGGATGTGCTGGGATGTGACTTTACAGAGTGCTCACCTCTTGCATTGTCAATTGTGAAAGAATGGCTCAGAGAGCATGAAGAACAAGATCTTGACCAAAAATTGATGCACCTCTTGATGGAAATAACATCACAACACTTACTTCCATCAAGCGGTGCATCAATTTTTGGTCAAGATCTTGTTCTTCATGCTCTCTGAACCATTCTTTCACAATTTTATCCCTGATGAATCTTGGCAGTGTCGTCCTGGAATATGGCCTTGATACGTCTTTCTACATGGTTATTAAAGAACTAAAAAGCTACACACTTCATCTTTTAAGATTAAAAGAACTGTTGCCAAACATATAACATGCTAGAAACATTATCATCACTCTAATAATGATCCATTCATACACTCTTATGTATTCGCCTATTAAAATCTAAACAGTGACTTTTTTTTGGCCGGGCAGTGTATCATATCAATGTTTCTGCTTTCTGGCAAGCTTTCTAATGAAAAATGTATTTGAATGTGTATCTATTTAGAACACGTTACCTGTTACCTTAATAGTGAATTGGATGGGGTTACATCCCTGTTATACACACATTCACACACTCATCCTTGCTAAGTAACATTTCGTTTAGCTTCATTAGCTCTCACAGATTCTCTTCCATTAATCCTGACAGTGAATGACTTTCAGCTTCTCTGGTGTTCAGACAGATTGGAACACACACCATGTTCCCTGAAAGAGCCGATTTTTTTTTTTTCCCCTGTAACAGCTCAATCCAGTGAGCGGCCACCCTGAGAATTGATCTGCAATTACTGACAGGTCGCCTGCAGTTTCTCTGAGAAAACACTCCTCATGCTGAGATTTAGAGAAGGAAAGGGAGCCAGATACAGAAGGAAAGTGGGACACAAAGAAAGATAAGAGAAGCTGAGACATGGTTAAAAAAAAAAAAAGAGAGAGAGCTCCTGTTTCACACAAAATACTGAGGGAAGTGGTGTTTCAGTGGTTAAAGGCTACTAATAAGAAGGTTGTGAGTTCACATCCCAGCATTGCCGGGTTGCTATTGCAAGTTGATATCCGTTTCTTCACCACTTTTGTGCTTTTAATCATTGCCCACAGCAGCCATATGAGGATTTGCAGTTGTTAAGGTGTTTGTTCCTTCCTTCCTTCCTTCCTTCCTTCATTCATTCATTCATTCATCTTCAGTAGCTTAATCCTGTTCAGGGTATGGATGGATTCAGATCAGCATAGCCAATCCACATACAACCATCTTTTAAAGTATTAGGAGGAAACTGGAGAAACCCGGAAACCAAAACAGACACAGGTAGATCATGGAAAACTCCACACAGACAGTACCCTGGGCTCAGGATCAAATCCTGGTTGCTCCTCGCACCATCATGCAGCCCCTGCTAATGAAAAATAAACACGCATTTAAAAATTATTATATATATTCAAACTATTTACATTTACAGCATTTTGCAGACACCCTTATGCAGAGTGACTTACAGAAGTGCTTTTCGGTCTCCATGGAAACTATCCTCATGCTAGTGCAAATAGGTCAGGGTGTTACAATACCTGCAAGCCGAAACCTTTTAGAGAGGGGTTAGTGTGACCCACAAGCACAACTATATAAACAGTTCTTTCCTCCCTTCCTGAAAATTCAGTGCAGGTTTAGGGCTCATTTAAGTGTTTGGTAAAGAAGTAGGTCTTCAGGTTCTTAGCTGACTTAGCTGTTGGGCAGAAGTTCATTCACCAGCTGAGTGCCAGGACAGAGAAGGCTCTGCATGGCTTGCCTGTCTGCTTAGATACAAGCAAAAAATATTCTGTACTAATTCACAGTACAGATTAATGTCTAAAAGTATTTCTGAATTTTCACATTGGATCAGAAGTATGAAATGTATTATGATCATGTATAAGCTAATCATAATCATCTCACTATTGAGAAAGCAATCCAGCACACTCACGTTTATTACACATTATTACGACAGCGACGTGGACTTAAATAAAATTAGCCTTGACTCGACTGTCAGTTATAGCCTGTATGAATTTACAGTCTATGGCTAGAAAGAAATTTTCTTGGTTACACAAAAGTAAAAAAAAAAAAAAAATCCAGCAGGAAAAATTGTATTTTAAATCTCATAGATTGGCAATGGTAATTCACTTTGTTTTTAAGTTTCTAAAGTTGGATCGTCATGTGACCGAAACTGACTGACATTTTTTTGAAACAGTGAGAGAACCCACGGAAGTGATGCCTATGATAAAGGATCATGATGTCTCATTAAGCCCTGAGCTTTTGCCCTGAGTCAGACCTCATAGTTTATATGTAACAGTGTAATGTCTCTGCTCTCTTTCTCTCACTCTGTGTGTGTGTGTGTGTGTGTGTGTGTAGTGTGTCCAGCTTCACTAATGAGTCCCCGACGCCCCTGAAAAGCCTGTGGTAAAACTCCAGAATAAATGAAAATCCTTTCTCCATTTTAAAAACAGCCTCCTTAATGGCGTCTCTTTGTTTCCCCCAGGCTTGCAAGGTGAAAAATCATTCAACATTAAAAGGAGACTATAATGAGAGCGATTCGGAGGTGACGGGACTTTCGGTGCTCAGCATTTTAATAGGTAGACGATTGGCAGGGAAAATATCAATGACCTCACAGGTGACACTCAGACTTTGTGAAGGATTAATTACCCAGAATGCATTAGGATGGCGGGCTTGTTAGGAGGATGGGCGTGGCAGGATATTGGTCTGTGATTATGTCAATATTACTGCTCCGTTTTTTCACCACTTCTGTCAAATAACCAGAGCCCTAGGAATTAAGTGAGAGCTAATGAGATTTCTGGAGGTTCTGTTAAACAGCAAAGTACAGCGTCATTAAGAGAGACAGCTCGTCCTGTCTCATCCTGCAGGGGACATCCAGAGCAATGCATTATGGGTTTATTGAAAGGTGGGCAACTAGATCAGACTTATTAATGCAATTTGATTTTGCGATTTAAAGGAAAAGTCTGTCCTGAAACACATTACGTATCTTTATAGTGAAATTCTTATGATGTGTTTAGTGTAGAAGTATGAGTTTTTGATTGTTGTTTTATTGTATTTTCAAATTGTTGCTGGAACTTTGGTTCGCCCCAAAGTGCAATAAGCGCCAGCGTCTGTTCTCTACTCCAGACCCTCTACGACCGCTTGGACGCCATGTTGTGAATGGAGCATGATCATATGACCATGCAAACATCTGAGCTTGTAGAAAACACAGCCTGCTTGAAACTCACTCCTTCTGTGGTCATTTTATTGCTGTCTGGATCC